ACGGCTGACACTGGAAGACCAGTTGGCGGCCGTGACCAGGGGGGCGTTCTATCAGGTACGCCTGATCCACCAGTTGCGACCTTTTCTGGACCGGGACGCCTTGCGCACAGTCACTCATGCCCTTGTCACCTCCCGCCTGGACTACTGCAATGCTCTCTACATGGGGCTCCCCTTGAGGAGCACCCGGAGGCTCCAGCTAATCCAAAATGCGGCCGCGCAGGCGGTGTTGGGAGGGACTCGTCGCTCCCATGTAACACCGCTGCTGCGCGAGCTGCATTGGCTGCCGGTGGCCTTCCGGGTGCGCTTCAAGGTGTTGACCATCATCTTTAAAGCGCTCCATGGCATCGGACCTGGATATCTTCGAGACCGCCTCCTGCCGCAGATTATCTCCCATCGGCCTGTACGCTCCCACAGAGTGGGTCTCCTCAGGGTGCCGTCGGCCAGACAGTGCCGGCTGGTGACCCCAAGGGGGAGGGCCTTCTCTGTGGGAGCTCCCACCCTCTGGAATGAACTACCCCCAGAGATCAGGGTGATCCCTGATCTCCCTTCCTTCCGCCACGCCCTTAAGACATGGTTATTCCAGCTTGCAGGACTGGCCTAGGGGAAATTTTTAGTGGGGGTTTTAAAATAATTTTAAATTACTTAGACCAATTATTAATATTCGTCTTTTAATCATGTTTTAATCTGTAGTTTGGTATTTTGTATTTTTATCTGGTTGTTAGCCGCCCTGAGTCCGCAGGGAGAAGGGCGGGATATAAATGTAAGCAATAAATAAATAAATAAATAAATGGGACACGAGGGTGGAGTCTTGCCCCCGCTGTCTGGCTGCCATGTCCTTGGCTGCACTACTCCGCACAGGCTACACCCGGGGCGACTCTCCTCCTGTGGGGGCTGCTGGTGAGGGGGCCACGAGGGGTGGCGGGGCTGGGGCGACAGCGTGCGTGTGTGCCCACAGAGAGGGCTCTGCGTGCCACCAGTGGCACGCGTGCCATAGGTTCGCCACCTGCCCAGATTCGTTTCCTGTTCCCTGTCTATCGGTCTTAAAGACCCGTGTCCTTTAAGAATTAAACTTTGTTTAAGTTCTTCGTCTCCTGGACGCGGTCCGATTAAAGGTGACGTCGCTACGGGGGCCCACGGGATTAAGTTTGCTGTCCACCACCACCACTAGTTTCTGTCACGACGACGAAAAGACGTGCACCGATTAACCACAATCAACAATCTTATGATTTCTATGTGGGCAGGGAAGGTTTTATAAGGCATAGCTCTGAATCTATTTCCCCACACACAAACACTTGCATCCTCAAGCGGAGGCAGGGATGTGGCACGTGGCCGAGAACTTGGTCTTGACACAGGTCACCCAGCTCAGTTGTGGGAAGGGTTGGCATTTGAGGACATGAGCCAACGCGGGGCAGCCATCTTGCTTTTTGCGGAAAAGAAAAGGACCGGCACGCAAGAAAGCGAAGGAAGGAAACAGATGTGACCTGGGAGGCAGAAGTCAAAGCTTTGGGGTAGAAGGGCGAGATCACGGTGGGAATACAGAGGAAGGAGTTGTGGACCTCTTTAGAAGCAGAGAGGAACAGCTTGTGTGTGAAGTTTATTTTCCTCCGCTTAACGTTCTCTTCTCCCAAACAGGCCTTAAGGAGCTCATCCTAACAGGCTGCTCTTGGTGCTCTGTGTCGGCCCTCAGCACAGCCAACTTCCCCTCCCTACAGCTCCTAGATTTGCGCTGGATTGAAGATGTCAAGGACTCTCACCTCCGCGAACTGCTCTTGCCTGCCACAGATGCCAAGCCTGGTAAAGCTACCTCTACTTGGAGGCAAAGATCTCTAGGGCAGAGATCTGGGCCGGTTTTAACCATCTTTTCTTCCCATTCCCAAGGAAGTGGGAAAACCTGCAGGGCGCTCCGTACGTCCACTCCGGCACCCTTTCCTTTTCCTTTCCCCACAGCAAAGGAGTGCCATAACACACCTAGATGTTAAGAACGGCTGAAATCTTGTGGGATGTTGACATTGCCACATGAAATCTCTCAAGGCTTCGCCGATCTTTAAAAGCCGTTAACGCAGGCAGGCGAAATAATGAGCCTCTGGAAAAATGGTCGGTGCCTGCTCTGAGTTGGCCAACCTGGGCTGTATTCAAACAGGGCACTGAGTTGCAAACCAGCCATTCCCATTTTAACCTCTCCTGTCGCACAACGCAGCCCACAGGGGGCAGGTTATGATTCAGAGTGTAATGTGGGCCTTTGTGTTACTCTGTTGGGTGTGGTTAAGCACCAAGGAAATCAGGCGATCCAGGCAGTTCAAATGGGCGTAAAGATTTATTACAAGTTTAAGCTCTCTAGAAGAATCTGAACTACTAACGGTTAAAGCAATTTGGTGGTAAATGAGGAATTCACAATGGGCCGGGCTTAGATCTCTTGTGGGCGCGTAGGGACTCATGACTGATGGTGCGTTTGACCCTTCCCTCGGTCATCTCCTTACAAAGTATTGTATAATCAGAAGGAATGACTGAGATCATCTAGTGAAGTCCTCTATGACAGAGGTCCCCAACCTTGGCAACTTTAAGACTTGTGGACTTCAACTTCCAGAATTCCTCAGCCCAGCCAAGCTGGCTGAGGAATTCTGGGAGTTGAAGTCCACAAGTCTTAAAGTTACCAAGGTTGGAGACCCCTGCTCTATGACATGCAGGTGAACCAGTTAAACCAATCATGGCAAGTGTCTTGTCCTGCCTCTTCTTAAATAGCTCTAGGGATGGAAAGCCCACAGATGTACAGATCTCGCCGCCATGATGTTTCTCCTTTAAACAAAACTTATTGCGATTCTCCTACAAACCTTCTGATCTACTACACTGTGGGGCTCTGGTGCAGTTGCTGGGCCTTTCTGCTCTGCGTGTCAGAGCTGCTAAGCCCAAGTCACATAGCAATAGTGCCCAGTCTAAGAGACTTCTCTGCACACTAAGGCTTGGCACTTATCACTTCTAGCATAGGATTGCCTGCTATCTCCACCCCAGCTATTGTGCCTCAGAAATCTTTCAGCTCATGGCAGGGGCCTTTGGGTGTACTGCAGGCCCGACTAGCCCATTTGGGATTCTTGATATGTGAACTGAGGTGTCCCAGACCTGAACAGCCGCAGATGCTGCTGCATGCTTGCTTGAGGCACCAAGCCCAGAGTCCGTTCCATGCCCTAAGGCAGTGATGGCGAACCTTTTATAGACCTAGTGCCCAAACCGCAACCCAAAACCCACTTATTTATCGCAAACTGCCAGGGCTGCATCAGCATTATGATGCCCTCGGGGGGGGCAGAGGGGCACCTCTGAGTGCTGCCTCTGGCACGCAAAAAACGGGGGCGCAAAAATGGGCCACCGTGCTGCAAGGCGCAAAAACGGCCGTGCCGCGGGGTGCAGATACAAGGCGCTGCACCATGCAAGAACAGGGCACGGCTAGTGAGTATCACGCAGGCACTATCCCGCCCCATTTGCAGCACGTGCATGTTCGCGGCCCCGTGCACACATGTAAAATGCTTCCCCCTCCCTTTTCTTCCAGTCCACCAATCGACAGTGGTTGGTGACCTCTGCTCTACCACCTCTACTCGAGCTTGCTAGTCGGCTGCTTCGCCTCTTTTGTGCTGGGCGGGGCTCCTGCTCCGAGCGGCAGTGGTGGCCGGATGGACCTGCTGCTAGCGGCGATGGCGCGTGTGCCAACAGAGAGGTCTCTGAGTGCCATAGGTTCGCCACCACTGCCCTAAGGAGCCGTCAAGGTTGGGCTGCTAAAACTGCAAGTGGTAGAGGTGGTTCGCCTGAAGGTCCCTCAGCCTATAGGGGATGTCACTCACCCTGCACCCTGGCTGGGAGAGGCAGCAGGGCAGAAAATCTCCTTTCATGACCTTCCTTGTAGGGAAGAGGTGAGCAAGGGCTGAAAGGTGTGGGAGAAGGCTCAGAGCAGCCGCCCCCAACCTTTTGGGCACCGGGGACCCGTTCCGTGGAGAGAGGTTTTTCCGTGGACCGGAGGGAGAGTGGTTTTGCATGCTCCCTGCATCCCACAGATGGGGCTTCACTTGCTTGGGCGGCCCGGTTTCTGGCATGCTGCAGACCGGTGCCAGTCCACGGACCGAGGGTTGAGGACCCCTGGCTTAGAGGGTCCTTCCCTGCACTGAGAGTCGAGTGCTTCCAGGCTGGGAAGTCTCAGCAAACGCATCGTGCCCTGGAGACCCTTCGCCTGGAGGCCTGTCGGGAGCACTGCAGATCTTCACGGGCACCGAGGAACATCCCAGATCCACTCTGTCAAGAAGCTCTCTGCACCCGATTACGCCCGGTGGGGAGAGCCAGGTGGCATCTTCATTTCAGGAAAGAAAACCTGACCGCCTCCACGGTCCAAGTCACTCCGGTGAAACAAACGTGTCTTGTTTTGGACACGCCTGTTAAATACCCTGTCAAAGTTGTGCATCTGCCATTTAGGGCAGAGGTCCTGGCTTGTCCCACGAGGCTCAGGCCCTTCTCTTTTCCCGCCCTGCCAGGCCAGACAGACAGCCGGGGCCGGCTGCAGAACGTCTCTGAATTACGGCTCTCCGGTCTGGACATCACAGATGCGTCTCTGCGCTTGGTAATCCGGCACACCCCTCAGCTTGCCAAACTGGACCTGAGCCACTGCAACCATGTAGGTGACCAGTCTGTTAACCTGCTGACCGCTGCTAATTCTCCACTCCGAGAGACCCTCGCTGAACTCAACCTCACCGGTGAGTTAACTCTCTACCGGCGATTCTACCTTTCCGGCTGGATTGGGCACCAAAACGATGCGGCCTCCTGAGAGAGAAGGACAGTGCGGTGTAGCGGTTAGGGAGTTGAACGTCTGTCCTCCTAGTGTTTCTCAGTCTTTTTTCTTCCGTGGCATCCTTGCAACTTTATTTTCCTCCTGCCTCCCCTTGTCCAGGTCCCATTGCCAGATAGGGACTTTGGACAATATTGGTAGTCCTTGATTTAGGAATCCCGATTGGGACTGGAGCTTCCACTCCAGCATGTTGCGCTGGTAAGTCAAGCCCGACCCAATTTTATGGTAATTTTTATGGCATTCATTAAGCAAATCACATGGTGGTTGAACAAATCTGCTTTAACAACCACCATGAATTACAACCATAATTTGGTCGTGGGTTGGTGATTACCTGTAGTGGACATGTCATTGTCCACCCCCCGTGACACCCATTATCTACATTCCTAAGAACGTGCCTGTTGCTAATTTGTTGGGGTGAATTGTCTTTCCCCCTGTAAAAACAGCCCCAATTCCTGCCCAGTCTCCCAAGCCAGTCCCCATCTCCCCACAGCAGGATCTGAACAAACCAGGGCTATCTCACAATCTCAGAACAGGATCCCAAACAGTGGCATTTCATGGTCTCCTATTCTGGAGGAGCCTTGGTGGTGCAGTGGTTAGAATGGAGCATTGCAGGCAAACTCTGCCCACAAGTTGGAGTTCGATCCTGACAGGCTCAAGGTTGACTCAGCCTTCCATTCTTCCGAGGTGGGTAAAATGAGGACCGTTGTAAATCATCAGGAGAGTGGCGTAAAGCACCGCAGGGTGGTATGTAAGTCCAAGCGTTATTGCTGTCTCTTCTTTCTTCCCTCGTAGGATGTAACCGGCTGACGGATCAGTGTCTGCCCCTTTTCCGCCGTTGTCCACGCCTCTCCCGTATCGACCTGCGCTCCTGTCACCACATCACGACGGAGGCCTGTGCTCGATTTGCCGAGGACTCGGTCTCCAACAGTGGTGCCGTGCCCCCTGCCCCCGCATCCTCACCTCCTTTTCATTGCCCTGAGGAGAAATTGCTGCTGAAGGACAGCTAATACTCGCCCTGGGGTGGAGGCGCAGACAGACTCAGCTTCACCAATCCGACCGTCGGACACGGACTCTGAGAGAACCTTTTTACTTAAAGCCATGCACTGAACCAGAGTGGCATCTCCACCCCCTTACTTGTGCAGCAAAGAGGGTGCGGGAGAGGGGGGGTGTCGTGCCCCCTTCCCCAGGCCTGCCCTACAGAGGGCCGGGTGGCCTTTTGCTCCATCCACTTGTTCTTGGACAGCCGCGGAGTAAGTGGGGTCCGAGGTAGCCTTGTCGCTTTACAATGCTGGGGAAATGCGTATTCCTCCCACCATGCACTGCGCCGTCCCCTTCTCCCCACCTCCACCTCCAAATGTCCCTCCGTGCCACCGTTGGTACACCCCGCTATCTCGGGGCAGCGGGCAGTGGGGGGGGGAAGCGGTGGGGGGAGTTGACGTTCAGCCTTGAAATGCTGGCTCGGGAGGAAGGCAGCTTCTTCGATGGGGTCGGATATATTACGTTTTTTCCTGCCCCGTTCCTCACCCAATGCAAATGTGCACTCCAACCTCATCGGTCCTCCCTCCCCTCCCACATGCTGCCTTGTTGATTTTTAAAGGGTGCGTGCGTGCGCGTGCGTGCATGTGCGTGCTTGTCAGCCTGCCCGCCCAGTTCCCTTCCCCGGCACTCCCTCCCCAGTTGTGCATCTGCGGTGTGGTTTTTGTTTTTTGTTTTCCCAAGGGGGCCAAGCAAGAACCAGGCAGCTGATTTCCAGATTCCTTTGCCCTGTCTTTTCCCACGCTGTACCTGTTGGGGCTCTCTCCTGCCTCTCCCGCTGTCTCTTTCCCACAGCAGTGGATGTTCTCTGGAGCTGGCATACCCATCTGATCTGCTTCCTGCATCGGGGCCCTTTGTACCCCAAATTCTCTCCTCGCCCATCAGTAGGAGGCCAGAAAACATCTCTACAGGCATCCTTCCCTTTAGATTTTCTTCTCCAGCTGCCAATTCCAGCGTGCAGCTGAGGCCTCCTGTGGATGCAGCCCCACCAGATGTTGGCCCCGGTGCCTCACTGGATGCCCACACCGTGAAACACATGCGCTGTGTTCCGTACGCACAGCGTACCTGCTGCTGTCTTGTTTATGCATTAAACCTGCATATGCATGCTCTTGCAAGCCACACATATGGACGGAGTCCCTCTCCAGGCTTTAGGCCTCTCCTCCTTAGCCAGGTTACTTTCACCCCACCCATATGTCAGTGTGCGTCTCCGCTGCTTTTAGCCAGTGTGTGGACTGCAGGTGGGGAAACAAGAGTTTTGTTCGTGGAGCAGAGGGATACTTTTGTCCGAAAGAAAGGAGTACACTAGCATACGTGAAAGGAAGACACTAAACCTCCTGTCTCACTTGTTGTGTGTTGGGATCCTTTGGGGAGGAAAGACCTTAAAAGTCCCCTCTCCCCTCCCTCCAATCCCCCTCAGCTCTTGGGGAAACGCGTCTGCCTAGCACATTGTTTCTTAACCATTAAGATGCGTGGACTTCAACTCCCAGAATTCCCCAGCCAGCATGAATTCTGGGAATTGAAGTCCACAGACCTTAAAAGTTGCCTAGGCTGAAAAACACAAGTCTACAGTATTCTGTCAGATCCCTGGGCCGTTCCCGGAGGAAATTCCCTCCCAGGCTGTTTTCATCCCATCTTGGCAGGCTGGTCAGATCGTGCAGCTCTTTTCAACCCGAGGCTCTTCTCCCTAGAGGATTCCTTCCTTCCTTCCTTCCTTCCTTCCTTCCTTCCTTCCTTCCTTCCTTCCTTCCTTCCTTCCTTCCTTCCTTCCTGTTTCTCCTCTCTTCGAATTCCTCCTTTTCAACTCTGGACAGGAAAGTCCTTGCAGCTTCCCCCTCCGATCTTCCCCCTTTCCTCGGTTTTTATTCTTTTTTTTTTTTGGACCATAAGCTTTAATAACCACTTTGGGGACAGGGGGAACAGGGGGCTGCCTGTGTTCCTTGCCCACAGTGCCAACTATTGTTGAGCAGGAGTCGGCCGGGCCTTCTCTTAATTCCAGCCGCTCTGCGCTGCCTCCGAATCTCAAACTTGAACCCCCGTCCAGCTGTTCGGGTAAGCGTGTGTGTGTGTGTGTGCTTGGGTATGTATGCATGTGGGATTCCCCGCCCCCGCCCCCCCTCTGTTTTCTTTGAAAGGGGGGGGAGAGAAATACTGTAGAAAAGAAAAGTGGTGCAAAACGAATGTCCTGGACCGACCGCTGGGCCTGCTGTCGGTCGCTTTTTGCTCCTTCTGCTCAGAGGCGGGAGCACGTGCTGAATGCTGCTCTCCGTCCCTTTGGCCATGTTCGTCTTCGGGGTCGGGTGGGGGACTCGCTCTCTCTTAAAGGTGCCCAATTCTGTCCATTTCTTTTTCACTCTTTCATTCCTTCTCTCCCATCTCTGTCTCTCCCACCATCCCATTAATTTTTTTTGCTGTCCTTTCGTCTTGCGAGAAATCGTCTGGACTGGACTGGGGAAGAAGTGCAGCAAACAAATTGTTCGTCCAGCCCAGAAACCCTAACCCTCTCTTGGCTTGAACGGTTTTTTCAGAAACTCTTCTTTTCTTCCTCCCTCCCTCCCTCTTCTCTTCCTTCCCTTTCCTCTCTCTCTCTCTCTCTCTTTCCTTTTTCCTCCCTCACCCTGCCCGCCAATCCTCCTCACCCTGTGCTTCATCTGGGTTTTCAGATGGCATCAGACACGCACGACCTTCCTGTGCGCGTTGGGGAGGGGAGGATGGCACAAGACTGATTTTTCAATTTGGTCACGTATCTATTTTTTTTTCCTTTTAATATATACTTGAACGTTCATTTATTACTAAAGCATTACTTGAAAAAAAAACGCAGCGATAGCTTGTGGAATCGGAGGCGAGGTTTTCGGTGTTGGGTTGTGTTTTTTTTTTATTATTTTTTACGGTTCTGTTGGGTGCTTTTTTTATTATTTTAAGAAAATTGGTTTCGTTGTTACTTTTTTATTTTTTTTTATTTTATTTTTTATTCATTTGTCTGATTCAACAAAGTCCTTCCCTCTCACTCCATTAACCAAAGAGGGCCAAGGTATCAATTTTTCCTCCTCCACCTCCATTTCTGGAGGGTTGTTTTGTTTTTTTTCCCCCTCTTCTGCCTAGGAGTTCTCTCCTTTACTCACAAATCTTACAGAGCAAGTATTAAACAATTTTGAGGAGGTGGAGGCTTTGGGGCTACGTTTGGGTGGAAATATTGTATATTTGAGGGAAGGTGTCAGTGGGCCTCTTCCAGATCTTACGGCACAGCATAAATATGTACTGTATGGCCTGCCCTCAGTTTAGTGGTCCTGCCCCCCCCCGGTCCCATTCCTACACTCCATGGTGCAAACAAGGAAAGTCGGTTTCATTCCACGCAGCCAGCCTCCTCGTTGATTTGGGGCCTCCACTCTTCATTTCTCCTTCGTGTGAAAGGAGATGTGTACACTAAGAGGGAAGAGCCATCTAGCTTCAGATATTTGTGGCGGTGAGGGGGGGGCATGTTCTGCCATGGTGACCCTCCCATCGTCAGCGTCTCCTTCTCAAAAGAGCATGGCAGCGGGCCAAGGGAAGTGCTCTTTTCAAGCGTATCTTTTGAGGTTTGTTTATTTTTTTACCATTGTTTTTTTTTTTTAAATGGATGTTTAACTCTTGAAAAAAAAAAGAAAAGAAAAGAAAAATACCTCAGGTTTAAAAAGAAACGGTGACGAGTGAGAGGGAAAACGTGGGAATGTCATCCCAAGGTTGCGTTACTCTGGAGCAGGGGTGGGCAGTTATGGCCCTTTTAGGACCCACGAACTTCAACTCCCAGAATTCCTGAGCCGGCCATGTTGGCTCAGGAAATCTGGGAGTTGAAGTCCGCGGGTGGTAAAGGGGCCATAGTTGCTCACTCCTGCTCTAGATGGCTGCTTTAGGGACTGCACGTGTTGGGCGGGAAGCCCACTGGACTAGTGTGGAGAGGCATCCATGGCTCAGTGCTGGGTAGAGATGGACACAAGTGATCGCCCGCCCTTCCATCGCCCAAGCCCTCACCTCAGTTTTCCTCACCCATTATCACTCCAAAGACAGGCGCCTGCAACAGTGTGTGCAGGCCCGTCTCTCAATCCCAATGGAAAAGGAACATGGAGAAACATGTCCGGTGTCTCTCCTATCCCCAGATGTAGCTTCAGAAAGTATTCCAAGACTCCATCAACCTTGAATCTCAGATGTGTTGGGAGTCTGCGTCCCGGTGTTTTCAACCAGCATGTTTGCTGGCTGCAAGTGGTAGGAGTTGTGGTCCACCGTCCCTTAGAGATGATCAAGTTGGGTAAGGCTGAGCTATTCCATAGGTCTCCCAGACCCACAGAAACACACGCACATACACGCCCAGGCATCTTCCCAACTCAGTGGACCAAAGCTATATTTCCACCACCACCACCACCATCATCTCCCGCCAATTAATTGTTTTATCCTCCAGCTACAACTTTAATCTTCAATAGACTCGGATTGCTCCTCACCTAGAAATTGAGACAAAGACTGCTGGGGATGGAAAAAGAAAGCAAAAGGGGTGAAATAAAAATGTAAAAATCCAGTTTTTGGGAGCGATGCGTCTCCGTGATGTTTGATCTGCACATCTCCATCCCGGCCCCTTGGGACTCTACAGGTGGGGAGGGAGGGGGACGTGAGACCAGGTTCCAATCTGAATTTCAGGGGTTCTATTATTGTATAATAACTGTTTGCTATATAAACAAAAAAAAATAATCAAAAAAACGAAAGTGTTTCGATCTTAAAAGTCTGTTTTTCATTATTCCCTCCCCCTCCTCCTTTACACACACATCATGCACATTCAAACATATATTCAGTTCTATCTCTTTGCAAAAGAAATGTGAATTAAAAAAAAAGTATGTTTTTTGGGGGGAATGTTAATTATTATTTTCTTTTTTTTAATTTTCGATGGGTTTCTATTTTATATTTTCTGGAAATATTTTTTTATAAACTCTTCTTTTGGTTTTTTCAAAAG